TTTGGGTACCGGTTTTTTGAGCCACAGCCATTTAGAGACCAACCCACCACCAAAGGCTGGAGTGCACCTACGCGCCCGTCCATCATGTCGCTGGGGCCTCGTGCGAAACTCTCAGCGCTCTCGTGAAGATCCAAAGGTTTGTTTGGCTTTTCTCGCGGGCAAGTGCTAAGGCCAGCACTGACGTAGTCGGCTCCGGCTTCTGCTTGAGACCTTGCTATTGTCACACTGCCAGATTTGCACTCTGGCTGCGTAAGTCCTATCATGGGGCCTGGGAGCCAGGCACGGCTTGCTTGCAAAGGTAGGCGATCCTTGCAAGGTTTTGCATGCGGCCGTCACCACGACGAGCCGCCAACTCGTCAGCTGAAATAGTTCAAGCATCGTCTCGTCGTTCAGAATGACACCATCAGAGCGCACGATTCCATCGTGGCCTGCTGCATAAGCAGGCTCAAACGACCTACTTGGGACTTGGCGGCCTAGGGAGTTGTACGGGTCCAGCGCGACATCAGTGTACACCACCTGGCAGGTGATCAAGCTGATCTCATGAGATGTACCAGAGCAGTGCGCATCTAAGATCAATCGTCCTCTTTTCTAATCTGCATTTTGGCAGGCTGCCCAGGCAGGGCGAGTTCTAGAGGCCGACTCAACTTAGTTGATGCCAGGCTCTCAGAACCTTGCATTAACCACCCCGCCAGTGGCGACGTCTCTGAAGCTGAAGGGCTCCTCCATCCATTAAGCCATACCTGTGCTGGGCTTACTCCAAACATGCCCGAGGCGCCCCATAATGTCGCACATGTTTCTTCGCGTGCATTTCAACCATCAAGCCTCATGGGCCTGCTGCCAAAGTGTTGAGCAGCATGCAGTGGAAGATGTGGGTTAGGTAGTCTTGGCATCGAGCGGTCGTATTTTGCAGGATGAGTACAACAACAAAGTTTAGGCCAAGCGGCTCGCATGGACAAGCCATTCACCTCAGATTTCACCAAACCCTCAATTGCTCTTTGTCCCGGTAGGCAGGCCATGTGCTGCCCAGCAGCTGTAATTGTAGTTCCCTGCGCCTTGCCTGCAAACTGGAGCAAGCAGCAAACAGTGATGACGAGCGTTGACACGTGACTATAGTTGGGTACGTGTGCATCAAGTCACCGCTCTGCCTTTCTTTGCAGCTCCAGCTTTGGCCTGCAGTATACGCACGCAAAAGGCATGTGCTAGAAGCGCGTGCTTCTAGCAGGATGGACGAAATCTTGCACCGCGTAAGAAACCCAGGAATGAAGATTCCCCTGCAAATATCAGCCAAGAATTGCTTTTCCATGGTCTCAAAGTGGTGCGAAATGGATTTCGTCCATCCACGGTATGTCTCTGCCTTAGCCTTCTTCTTTTTCTTGGGCTTGGTTGCCTGGGCATCGCCTGCTTCTGCTTCTCCCCCTCAGCGGGTAGACTGTCTGAGCGGTTTAGCCCTCCCCAAGAGAATCAGAAAAGCCAGGGGTGTGCCTTAAGATAGGGACGCCTAAACAAATGTGTTTTTTTTTGTTTTTCTGTCGGTTTCCTTTTGAAGCCCCAAAAATGGTACCCCCAAAAAGACACACCCAAAAGATACTTGACACTTGACATGCTAACCAGCGTTGGCCGATGCTGTATTGTCGTACAATCTTGATGACATTTTTTGTTGGAGAATCTTGGATCACCATTGGCCAGGGCAAGAGAATATCAAGCTTGAATAGGCACTTTCGTGGTCAATGCCACCAGCATCGCCAACATCACCAGTGTCTCCATGAGAAAAACAAATATTGGCCTTCGGGCACAAGTGGATCTTCTACGCTTCGCTCGTTTCCACAAACCTCAACACAGGCAGTCAAGCGGCCAGATCCATGGGATGACTCGGCATCACCGTTTGCCTCGGACACGTCCGAGGAAAACCACTCAGATCAGCGCAAAGCCCTGCAGGCTTCAGAGGCCAAACAAATATTTGCCACAGTGCCTCACCCTCCTCGACTTGGCGTTCAGCTGCGGCTTTGGCCCGCGCTTCTTCTTCTGCCTTGAGTCTGGCCTCTTCGGCCTTAAGCCGCGCCTCCTCTGCTGCCTTGAGTCTAGCCTCCTCTTCTGCCTTGGCCTTCGCCTCTGCTTCAGCCTTGAGTCGCGCCTCCTCTTCTGCCTTGAGCCTGGCCTCTTCTTCGGCCTTGAGTCTGGCCTCCTGATCTGCCTTGGCTTTGGCCTTGAGTCGCGCCTCTTCTTCTGCCTTGGCTTTGGCCTCTTCTTCGGCCTTGAGTCGCGCCTCCTCTTCTGCCTTGGCTTTGGCCTTGAGTCGCTCTTCTTCTGCCTTGGCTTTGGCCTCTTCTTCGGCCTTGAGTCGCGCCTCCTCTTCTGCCTTGAGCCTGGCCTCTTCTTCTGCCTTGGCTTTGGCCTCTTCTTCGGCCTTGAGTCTGGCCTCCTCTTCTGCCTTGAGTCTGGCCTCTTCTGCCTGGGCTTTGGCCTCTTCTGTGGCCTTGAGTCTGGCCTCCTCTTCTGCCTTGGCTTTGGCCTCTTCTTCTGCCTTGAGCCTGGCCTCTTCTTCTGCCTTGGCTTTTGCCTCTTCTTCGGCCTTGAGTCTGGCCTCCTCTTCTGCCTTGAGTCTGGCCGCCTCTTGTGCTTTGGCTTTGGCCTCCTCTTCTGCCTTGAGTCGCGCCTCCTCTTCCTCTTCTGCCTTGGCTTTGGCCTCCTCGTCGGCCTTGAGTCGCGCCTCCTCTTCTGCCTTGGCTTTGGCCTTGAGTCGCGCCTCTTCTTCTGCCTTGGCTTTGGCCTCTTCTTCGGCCTTGAGTTGCGCGTCCTCTTCTGCCTTGAGCCTGGCCTCTTCTTCGGCCTTGAGTCTGGCCTCCTCTTCTGCCTTGAGTCTGGCCTCTTCTGCCTGGGCTTTGGCCTCTTTTTCAGCCTTGAGTCGCGCCTCCTCTTCGGCCTTGAGTCGCGCCTCCTGTTCTGCCTTGAGTCTGGCCTCCTCTTCTGCCTTGGCTTTGGCCTCTTCTTCGGCCTTGAGTCGCGCCTCCTCTTCTGCCTTGAGTCTGGCCTCCTCTTCTGCCTTGGCTTTGGCCTCTTCTTCGGCCTTGAGTCGCGCCTCCTCTTCTGCCTTGAGTCTGGCCTCCTCTTCTGCCTTGGCTTTGGCCTCTTCTTCGGCCTTGAGTCGCGCCTCCTCTGCTGCCTTGAGTCTGGCCTCCTCTTCTGCCTTGGCTTTGGCCTCTTCTTCGGCCTTGAGTCGCGCCTCCTCTTCTGCCTTGAGTCTGGCCTCCTCTTCTGCCGTGGCGTTGGTTTCTGCCTCTGGTGCAGCCGTTTCGTTTTCTGCCAGTGCTGGTGTCTTTTCTGCATCTTGGGATGTTTTTGGCTCTGCGAGGCGATTGCGCAGTGTTCGCTGAGGCAAATCATCAGCAGCTCGCTTTTTGTTCAAGTTTAATCGCCTTTGCTTTCTGAGGCGGTTGTGCATGAACCTTTTCCATCGCTTGACTCCCATCTTCAAGCGCACAATCACCCAGATCCACTGAATCTTGACCACATCCGTCTTCGTAGCCGGTGCCTCCAGTTTTTGGACGCCAAGGCTACTGGTCTGGAAGCAAGACAGCTCCAGAGTGAGCACAAGCGCTTTCCCGGAATAACAAAGAAAACAAAAAAACAATGGGCATGTCAAAACCAGCCTGCGCTGCCTCCTTTCTACTCGAATCTTTGGGAGTTGTAGCCTCCACAGTAGACATCTCTTCAGCTGCCCCTGGTTTCTTGCTTGCGCTCTCTCCAGCCTTGGGTCGCCCGCAGGCACTTTGTTTTATCAACCCCGCCCTTGTTGTTGTTCAACCCTCCACGTTTTTAGTTTAACCGGTTTCGGGTGGGTTTAGGGGTTACAATTGGTTCAAGGTGGGTTTAAGGTCGGTTTCGGTTGCATTTAATTTTGAGCAGCATGCAGCGCAAGAGATGGGTTAGGTAGTCTTGGCATCGAGCAGTCGTATTTAGCAGCATGAGCGCAACAACAAAGTGTAGGCCAAGCGGCTCGCATGGACAAGCCATTCACCTCAGATTTCACAAAACCTCAATTACTCTTTGTTCCCGGTAGGCAGGCCATGTGCTGCCCAGCAGCTGTAATTGTAGTGCCCTGCACCTTGCCTGCGAACTGGAGCAAGCAGCAAACAGTGATGACGAGCGTTGACACGTGACGTCCATCACCCCAAGTACTGACCACTAAACACAATGTGAATCAGGTCACCGCTCTGCCTTTCTTTGCAGCTCCAGCTTTGGCCTGCAGTATACGCACACAAAGGCATGTGCTAGAAGCGCGCGCAAAGAAACCCTGGAATGATGACTCCCGTGTAAACACCAGCTTTCAAAGCGCGTGTTACGCCGATTTCATAGTGAGCGGCGCTTTGCCCATCTAAGCTCGAGGCCCTAGGGCCTAGGGCCTATAGCCTAGTAGCGGCGGACAGGCGGTTCATCGCCATGCGGTTTCGCACTTCTATAACGGCCCCTCATTGGGGGTACGTGCAAAGTCCACCTCCCGGTGTCCAGCGCCCGCCTCAAGTCATACCAGCGCGTAGCCTTCATCATAATGTCCACCAGCATGTCCTGCGTGGCGATCCAGTAGATCTTGTCAGTTGCGTTCTCGGGCATCTCCTCCCACTGCGCGCCCTCAAGACCTCAACAGCTCTTGGCGAAGGGAGGTCAGGCGCTGACAGGCGCTGCTCCGGAGAGGTGGCAAGCTCCACATCCCGGGAGATGCATCCCTGACATCAAAAAGACCATCCTTCCTGATCGGTCACCACGTTCACCACTTCCCCCGCCGCATGGGGATCTTGCAGTTGTCAAAGTCAACCGTGCCCTTGTGGAACCTGATGCCGTAGGTGCTTGTCTTCTGCGCCGAGCTCAGCAGCCGCGATCTCTATCTAGTCCTTGTGCTCGGTGATGCGCCTCTTACAGCGCCGGAAAGTGTCCTGCTCCTTTGATCCGAAAGAGAAACGTCTCTGGACCACCTTGCATAGAAGGTCGTCGTCCACATGTGCGGTTGCCAATCCCACGATCCTGCCGTTCACCTCCAGGACATATAGCGCGTTCTCCAAGCACTGAAAAGCTGCTTATATATGTTTTTGACCGGATGTGAAGCTGCGAAGGCCACCACCATGTGGACTGATAAGGCGCTGGCCGTTGAAATCTCTAGCCTCCATGCCCCCACGCATGACCAATCGGCTCGTGTACTTCGGCTCGATCTTGGGTCCTCCTGGCACGTGCAGCTTCTCGTTCTTGTCACTGTCAACCCGCTTCATCGGGATGATGCGGCCTCCTTCTCTTTGCGCGCGCGCAAGGTCCTCCTCCGTGGTGGGCCGCATATGGCTTGATACTTCTGCCATGATCCCCACTGCTTGCCTCGGCTCTTGCAAGGCTTCTTCTGAACCTCCGCGCTTTCTCGCTCAGAGGTCAGTCCTCCAACTGCCTTCTCCTCTCTCCTCGTTGCCATGAAGCACACGAACTCCTGGCTCCTCTTCTTCTTCCACTGGCAGACTCTAGAAGAGTGTCTCGCGGTCCATCTCCTCCTCCTGCCCTTCGTGCCAATCTTCCGCTGAGCCCAGGCCAACATCCAGCGTTTCTCCTGCGTCTCGCCTAATGGCTCGGATCAGGCGTCTCCTGCGGTGTTGCTGCATCGCGTGGTTGTGGGCTGGATCCAGCGGCCTCGGCATCCGGCTCATCCTCAGTGATCTTCCGCGTAAACGGCCTGGGGCCTGAAGGCGTGGTACTTCAAACCATCCAGGGACATGTTCTGCAGGAAGCTAGGCCTCCTACAGGATCCCGCCGGCGACGCGCGTAGCTAGGCCCCTGACAGGGGCTCCGCTACCAGTTTGAAAGCGGGTGTTACGCCGATTCCACAGCGAGCGGCACGTTTTCCATCTAAGCTCAAGGGCTCTAGAGCCTAGTAGCGGCGGACAGGCGGTTCATCGCCTGAAACTCACATGCGGTTTCACACCAACCAACAATGCAAAATGGATTTCGTCCGTCCACAGCATGTATATCTCCGCCTTAGCCTTCTTTTTCTTGGGCTTAGCTGCATGGGCATCGCCTGCTTCTGCTTCTCCCCCTTGGCACCGACAAGGGGTGTGCCTTCATATAGGACCGCCTAGACAGATGTGATTGTCCTGCAAAAATGTACCCTTAAACAAGACACACCCAAAGATACTTGACACTTGACATGCTAACCAGCGTCGGCCGATGCTGTATTGTCGCACAATCCTGATGGCATGTGTGTCGAGGAACCCTTGGCCAGGGCAAGAGAATATCAAGATTGAACAGGCACTTCCATGGTCAATGTCACCAGCATCGCCAACATCACCAGTGTCTCCATGAGAAAAACAAATATTGGCCTTCGGGCACAAGTGGATCTTCTACGTTTCGCTCGTTTCCACAAACCTCAACACAGGCAGTCAAGCGGCCAGATCCATGGGATGACGCGGCATCACCGTTTGCCTCGGACACGGAAAACCCATCAGATCATCGCAAAGCCCTGCAGGCTTAAATATTTGCCACAGTGCCTCACCCTCCTCGACTTGGCCTTCGCCTTCAGCTGCAACTTTGGCCCGCGCTTCGTCTTCTGCCTTGAGTCTGGCCTCTTCGGCCTTAAGCGGCGCCTCCTCCTCTGCCTTGACTCTGGCCTCTTCTTCGGCCTTGGGTCGTCCCTCCTCTTTTGCCTTGGCTTTGGCCTCTTCTTCAGCCTTGAGTCGCGACTCCTCTTTTGCCTTGGCTCTGGCCTCTTGTTCAGCCGTGGGTCGCGCCTCCTCTTCTCCCTTGAGTCTGGCCTCTTCTGCAGCCTTGAGTCGCGCCTCCTCTTCTGCCTTTGGTCGAGCCTCCTCTTCTGCCTTGGCTTTGGCCTCTTCTTTGGCCTTGGGTGGCGCCTCCTCTTTTCCCTTTGCTTTGGCCTCCTCTTCGGCCTTGAGTCGCGCCTCCTCTTCTGCCTTGGCTTTGGCCTCTTCCTTGGCCTTGGGTGGCGCCTCCTCTTTTCCCTTTGCTTTGGCCTCTTCTTCGGCCTTGAGTCGCGCCTCCTCTTCTGTCTTGCGCCTGGCGTCCCCTTCTGCCTTGGCTTTGGCCTCTTCCTTGGCCTTGGGTGGCGCCTCCTCTTTTCCCTTTGCTCTGGCCTCTTGTTCAGCCGTGGGTCGCGCCTCCTCTTCTCCCTTGAGTCTGGCCTCTTCTGCCTTGGCTTTGGCCTCTTCTTTGGTCTTGGGTCGCGCCTCCTCTTCAGCCTTGAGTCGCGCCTCCTCTTCTGTCTTGGCTTTGGCCTCCTCTTCGGCCTTGAGTCGCGCCTCCTCTTCTGTCTTGCGCCTGGCGTCCCCTTCTGCATTGGCTCTGGCCTCTTCTTTGGCCTTGGGTTGCGCCTCCTCTTCGGCCTTGAGCCGCGCCTCCTCTTCTGTCTTGGCTTTGGCCTCCTCTTCGGCCTTGAGTTGCGCCTCCTCTTCTGTCTTGCGCCTGGCGTCCCCTTCTGCCTTGGCTTTGGCCTCTTCTTTGGCCTTGGCTTGCGCCTCCTCTTCGGCAAAGAGTCGCGCCTCCTCTTCTTCCGCCTTGCGCCTGGCGTCCTCTTCTGCCTTTGCTTTGGCCTCCTCTTCGGCCTTGAGTCGCGCCGCCTCTTCTGCCTGGGAGTGCTTGGGTTCAGGGTGGGGTTCGCGGGTTTAGGGTGGGGTTAGCGGTTTTAAGGCGGGCTGGGGACAAGCCAAAAGGCAAACCAACCAAAGAAACACGCAAAAGCCAAAGGCCAAAGAAACGCGCAAAAGCGGGCAAAAGCCGCAAAAACCGGTTGTGCGGTTTAGTTGGGTTAGGGTTGGCTTGGGGTTGCTTAGGCTAGAGGGTTGTTTTTGGCTCGGGGATGTTCAGGGTCGGTGTTGTGTTCGTTGAGATTGGGCTTAGGGATGGATTAAGGCTAGATTAAGGTGGGAAGGGTTTGGGATTTTTTTTGGTTGGTTTACTGTTGGGTTAGGGTCTGAGGTTGGCTTAGCGTGGATGATTCGACTGAGGTTGGGGTGGGTTTAGAGCTAGTGTAGTCTGGGTTTAGGGTGGGTTTAGTGTTGGCTTAGTGTTAGGTAAGGGTTGGTTTAGTTTGATTGATTTAGGGTTGGTTTAGGGTATGTATGCGGGTCTTCTGGAGTTGTTGGTCGGTTTTTGATGAAAAAACACAGCCCCCAAGAATCTGAAAAACGCGTGTATGGTTTAGGGTGGGTTCGAGTGGGGTTGCGTTTGATTTTGGGTGGCTTGGCCGGTGGAGAGATTTAGGGTTGGTTTCAGGTGAGTTTAGGACGTAGGGTGGGTGTAGGATGGGTTTGGGGTTGGTTTCGGGTCGGGTTTGGATTGGTTTAGGTGGCTCAGTTGGCTTCTGCCAGGTTTAGGGTTGTTAGGGTTGGGTGGGTTTGGGGTTGGCAAAGCGTTTGTGGTTGGTTTACGGTTGGTTTAGAGATAGTTGGGTCTGTCTCCTTTTTGGTTGTTTCTTTTCTTTTTTTTAGTAAAGGGAACCCACACTCTTGGTGGGTCCCCTTTAAAAAGACACACGGGCCGAGGGTGAGAAAAACCAGGTCGTGGGTGAAGAAAGCAAGAACCGGCGGGTGAACAAAACCAAGGTGAGGGGTTGGAAAAACAAGGTTCCTGCAGAGGGTTCCCAAGTCGCTGACTGTAAAAGAAGGAAGGGTTAAGTTAAACAAACAAGTCTGGAGGGTGGAAACAAAGGGAGCCCCTGTTTGGAACCCTCCACCCCTCTTTTTTAACCCTCCTTTTAACCCTTTTACCCCTGCATCTCTTCTTTGTCAACCCGGTGGCCGAAGCCTACGGCAACTGCGCCGCTACGCAACGGTTAGTTTCGGGTGGGTTTAGGGCGGGGTTAAGGTTGGTTTAGGGTGGCTTTCGGTTGCATTTCGGGTAGGAGGGTGAGTTTGGGCTTAAGGCTGGGGTTGGTTTAGGGTGGGTTGGTTGGTTTAGGAAGGGTGGGGTTGGGGTTGGTTAGGGTTTGCTCAGTCTGGGCTTGGGGTTGACTTAGGTGTGGTTCAGGGTAGGTTCGCGTGGGTTGGGGCTTGGAAAGGGTGGGTGGTGAATCCCGTAGGCGGGTTCGGTTTTTTTGGGTTGGTTCAGTGGGTCTTTGTGTTGCTTAAGGGTCGGTTCATGTTTAGTTTGGCTGGGTTTAGAATGGGTCTATGGTGGGTTGAGTGCTGGTTTAGGGTGGTGTTAGGGGTTGTTTAAGGTTGACTAAGGGTGGGTTTGCAAGAAGTTTCAGGGTTGGGTAGGGGTGGTTGGTTTAGGGCGGATTTGGGGTTGGGTTAGGGTTCAGAATCCGCGCACAAGCCGCCAAACGCTGCAAAAACTATTTTTCGCTTTGGCTGGGTTGGGTTGGCTTAGGGCAAGGTTCAGGGTTGGTTTTGGGTTGGCGGGTTGTTTAGGGTTGGTTTTGTGTTGGCTTAGGTTGTGTTTAGGGTTGGATTTAAGGCTAGTTTAGGGTGGGATTGGGGTTTGTGTAGGAAGGCTTGGGGGGGGATTGTGAGCGCCATGACTTGCTCAACAACTTGCAATTAGCAAGAGAGAAGGGGTTGAGTAAATTCTGCCCCTTGAAGTCTTGCACTCTCAATTTCACATCTTGGGCCTTATGGCCATTCGAGCCCAAGAAAATGTGTTCAAGCAGAAAGCGGATTCTAGGCAGAGAACGTATGGGAAACAAAACAACAAATCGCACAAAATAATTACCAGGGGAGCGCACAGAGGCCTCCTGCATTTTCTCCAATTGCGAAGTCCATCTCGCCAGGGATTGCCATTTCAAAGGATCCGCGGGATGCAACTTTGCCGCTGCCACCTTCTTCTTCTCCGGCAACTGCACCGTTTGCATCCCCTTGTCCTTTAGAAGAGCATCTCCTCGCATGGCGTGGACAGTGCGGCCAAAGTTGTCAACGCTGGATGTCCCGCTGAAGGCCTTGTGCTGGAGCAAGCCCGCGCAGATCTGTCCGAAGCCACGGGAGGTTGCCAAGTGTAACCTCGGATTTCGCGTAACAAACAACATGGAGGCCCTTGGGACAGGAAACAAACTACGGGAGGCAAGCAGCGCTGTCATACCATCCTTGTCCCGAGCAGTGGCAACTTGAAAGCGTGCACTGTTGAGAATGGTGAGGCACACTTCACTTTGCCCATGTGCAGCCGCAGCATGGAGAGCTGTCCATCCATTCCAATCTTGCACATTGTGTGCCGCGAAGCGCCAATGGTCCAGCAGAACCCGACATGAGGCCAGGCGGCCTTTGCAGGCCGCGTAGTGCAGAGCGGTGCAGCCCTGGGCATCCTGATCATTCACCGCCAGGAAGGTGGGTGCCTCCAAGAGTTCCAGGCACACCTCCGCAAATCCCGCCGCTGCCGCGTAGTGCAAGAGACCGGCGCCCTCGGCCCGCGCGTTGAGATCCCAGTCGCTGGCGCGGTGCAACGCTTCGAGGGTCGCAGCCTCACCTCCCTTCTGTATGACTCGCAGCAGCATAGCGCGGCATCTCGGCTAGGCCGACAAAACCAACGCCGCACCTCGTGCGTTTGGGCCAAAACATGGCTCACATGCGGCCAACTGGATGGAGTGCCTGCATGGTGCCTGATCACGTCACGCAGATGTGAAGCAAGAAATACCGTAATACCGTGGCAGCACGACCACTTCAGGAAATGCCTAAGCCAAGGCAGCTTGCCACGGTCGCACAACGTCAGTTTCCTCAAAAGGGAGATTTTGGCGACTGGCCTTCTTCACATTGCTGATGGCACGTTGCGCAAGGCCTTCTGGGTTGTAGCATTCCTCGGCATAAGCATGCTGCACATTCTGGCCATCACTTTTGAGACCTGCAATCGCCGGCTAGGCGTTCCCTCCGGAGCCCCTTGTGCAGCCCAAAGTCCTCGGCAGTTTGGGTCTTCAGCTCGTCCGGCGTCTTGGGGAAGAGAACCACGGACTTCACACCAAGCTTGACCGCCTCAAAGGCTCCAGCTGAGATCTGCCGCTTCCAAGCTGTCACCTGTCCTCCTCAACTTCCCGCAGCAGGCCAGTGTCCACCTCGGGAATCCTAGCCCTCTAGTTTGCTCAGACGTGCGCTCAGGGCTTCTTGCCTTCAACCGGCAGAGACAGCAGAGGCAAGCACGAATTAGTGCCGTTGTTGAGTTACGCTCTCTATCTATCCATTCATCCATTCATCCATCCACCCATCCATCCATCCATCTATCGATCTATCCATCTGTCCATATCCCTCCCTCTCTCCCTCCGTTTCCAAGCTGCTGGCTCCAACGCGAGACACCCCCGGCATGGAGCTAATGGGGATGTCATCCGTTCCCTGCAGTTCGCACCCCGCTCGAAGCACTCACATCACTAGCTCAGAGGATCCTCGTGCACGAAAATGGGCAGGATGAAGTTGGCAGCTGTGAGCCTCTGTGGTCGATAGGCCCCGGCACAACTGAGCCTTTCCAAAGCACTGCCAGGTCCTCAGCCTCCCGCCGCGTCTCTGAAAACATGTCCCTTTGAGCAGGAGACCGGCGATTGCGGCGCGGCCTGCTGCGCGCCAAGGACAAACCAGCTGGGACAGCTAAACCCACCTCTTCCTGATGGACATCGGATGCGGTTCCGGAGTGCCCTCCGGGATCTGGGTCCCAGGAGGGTGCTGTGTGACCTTGGCATTTCCTAGCATCCTCGCTTCAGTTCATTGCATGCCATGCCGTGCCATGAGCAACAACTGCGTGTCGCACCCTTCCGCTCGTCTCCACGACGGGCTTGCTCGGAGCTTGGGGCTCCGCGAAGAAATTGCGCGCTGTCTGGCAAACATGTGTCCAACTGCACTGAAGCCACCACGCCATGGCAAGTTTCCAGCCTTTGTCGCGGCTCGTCGATGCTTCCGAGAACCGCTCGCCGTGAGACTCGCAACTGTTGCGCACATTGTTGCGGCCAAAACAGTCCCACTCGACCTCAGCTGTCAGGGCATAGGGCAGGTGCGTGGCGTGCTGAGCAGGGGGCCCAGTGCTGACACCATCTGGTTGGGCGGTCAGAGAGGGAAGCTGAGATGAAGTCAGCGACCTGCAAGCCCATGAAGCTCCTCCAGCCCCTCCGCAACATGCGTTCCTGGCAACCCATCGTCAGGGCAGTGCCATGGGTTTGCTTCATGTTAGCTTCATGCAGGCATCGCCTAGCCCCTGCCCAGGACGCAGTGAAAGCCGTCATGGCCCCTGGACACCAGTGAGCTGCCAAAGACTCTAAACCCTTTGAACGGCTGGCCTGAGATACAAGCTGCGCTTGGGCTTCAAAAACGCCAGGAGCTTGGGCCGTCTGTGGCAACGGGGTGAGACGTGACCTGTAGATTGAAGACTCCCCCAAATGCGCAGTGCAAATGCAGGTCGCAATGCCACCGTCTCAATACTCAGCACTGCAAACGCACTGTTTGCCACTTCGCCGCGTGGCCAAGCGGATCCTCTAATCCGTCGAACGGTCGGCACTTGTGTGGTGCACCTTGCGCAAACTAAAAGGATCAATCATCGTCCATCAGGCTAAATTTGCGCCAAGGGACAGGAATCGCTTCAGAATTTCGGCTGCGGCAGGTCCGCCTGTGGATGAACAGACTGACCCTTGACGCTCTCTGCACCCGCCGCTGCTTCCTACAAATCTTGCCTCCGCAATGCGTCGACACCTTTCCAGTACTTCCACCGTACCTGCCGCTGGCAAGCAAACATCTCCTCTGAGTGGATTGCCTGCCTGCTGTTCTGGAGCCGGCTGGTCGTCCTTGCCCACTCCTGACCCCGAAAAAGCACTTCCATTTTATTGGCACACAGGTGCCTTATGCACCGCGGCAGGCCCCCCAAGCGTGCCTCCAGTCAGAGTAGTCGATTCCGTCTCCACCTCCGGGCAATGATTTGTTCTGCAGAATCGTCAAGGCGCTTGCGGGCAGTCGCTTGCTGCCCCCGCAATTATCTAAGGCTGCGACCCTGTCCGTCTGAGCGGCCGAGTCAGGCATGATTTCTTGTGCATCTTGCTCGTCTTGGGGTGCACCTGCACCCCCACACATGGGAAACGTCGCATCTGTCCACCTGGCTAAGCACAGCACTAGACGTGGCCGCCGAAGGAGCGCTGGACAACGCCTCAGCAAAATTCTGGACGCTGTGACTTTCCGTGCTAGACGCACAAACCTTGGAAGCTGGGGCAAGCTGCCATCGAGTCAAAACTCCGTCTGTGCCACTTAATGGAGACGAAACACTGAGTTCAGCATGCGTTTTGCCTGCCTGCCGTTCTGGAGCTGGCTGGTCGTCCTTGCCCACTCCTGACCCCGAAAAAGCACTTCCATCGCTTTATTGGCACACAGGTGCCTTATGCACCGCGGCAGGCCCCCCAAGCGTGCCTCCAGTCAGAGTAGTCGATTCCGTCTCCACCTCCGGGCAATGATTTGTTCTGCAGAATCGTCAAGGCGCTTGCGGGCAGTCGCTTGCTGCCCCCGCAATTATCTAAGGCTGCGACCCTGTCCGTCTGAGTGGCCGAGTCAGGCATGATTTCTTGTGCATCTTGCTCGTCTTGGGGTGCACCTGCACCCCCACACATGGGAAACGTCGCATCTGTCCACCTGGCTAAGCACAGCACTAGACGTGGCCGCTGAAGGAGCGCTGGACAACGCCTCAGCAAAATTCTGGACGCTGACTTTCCGTGCTTTTTTCGCAAACCTCCAAACCAGGCGTTGCGGGCCATTGGAAGCTGGGGCAAGCTGCCATCAAGTCAAAACTCCGTCTGTGCCACTTAATGGAGACGAAACACTGAGTTCAGCATGCGTCGCAGCTGCTCGTCCAGTGCTGGCACCTCAAAACGGCCCGTCCCAAATGGAAGCCTCAGGCTATCCAAGTGCCTTCTCTTTCTCGATGCCCAGTGCCTGCAGCAACAGAGTTCCCCTGCCCCAACAGGAACACCTTCGGCCTGAGCAATGCTTGGCGGAAGGTCTGGCTCAGGCGCCTAGCCAATTGTTGCGTGCCCAGCTCAGTGCTCCATGAGTTTCAGCTGGGATGCAGCAGAGCGGTCGCCAGTGGGCTTGGCGGGCAAATCCGCCTGCAAGTCGCAAATATCATCAGCAGCTGGGGCCTGTTGCGTTGCCTCTATCGCCTCAGCAGCATCGTCTTCTGACTCGCTGCTGCCTCCGAATTGGAAAAAGCTCCGTGAAGCTATCCAACTCGAGCCGGGGCGAGGCTTCCCTTGCAATGAAAACGAGCCATGAGGCCTCCACTCCCATTCATCAACCTGACTGAAGTTCAGCTCAAAGATTGCTAGCCACCCACATCTCTGCTAAGGAGCAGAAAGTCGCGTGCTTCTGGATCCGTACCTGGATGTCAAAAGCGCTGTGCAAACACTACCTTTTGTCGGCCGACCGTTGAAAAAGTCCTCGTAGACTTGGAAGGCGTCCTGCTGGAAGCATTCGAACAGAAAACAGAAACTGGCTTTAGACGCGCACAGCAGGAGTCAAAGAGCTCGCATTGCTTTAATTCAACGGGCCGTGGGTTGGCATCCGGAATGGCTCCCACGTGGGGCTGGCCAAGCATGGCATTCTGAGCCCATTTCGGCTCAAAAGCCAGGTAAAGCACAAGGTGCCACCTGGTCTGCACAGCTCAGCCCAGAAATTCTAGCAATTGCTCTTCAGCATCGCCTAAGTGCGCCAAACACGTCATGGCAGTGCCAAGCAAATTGGCCAACTGCCAAATATCAAAACCAAACAACTGCATCCTGGTTGCAAATGGTATCAACGACATTGGCCACATGCGAGCACATCATCAACGCCAGCTTCTCATCCACTTGCGAGAAGCCTGCTGTCTCTCCAGCTTTTCGCTGCCTCAGTCTCTCGCAAGCCAAGCACACCAGCCCATACCTGCTGAAACATGTTGAGCCTAGAGGCTTTTTATTGATGACTTCCACAACTCCCAAGACTTGTCCAGTCCGCTTGCTCAGAATGGGGCACACCAGTACGCTGCAAGCGCGCGTGCCCTTGCCAGCATTTCGATGTGTATCTGCAAATCTGGGATCTGCATAGACTACCGGAACATTCAAAAGAAGCTTTGTGTCTACCCTCAGTTGCCCAAAGGATCCAAAAATACAAGGTTAACCTTTTGGCACCCCTAAAAATTGACAACAATTCAAAAACCAAAAGGTCAAAAAGTGGATTCGCGCTTGCAAGTGAGTCTCACGTGCTTCTTTGTGCCACCATCCCGGAGTTTGATTTTCGTTGGCCGTTCCAGCTGCCGCTCCAAATAGGATTTGAACTCCTCGGAGGAACTCTCGCGGGATTTCCGGACCAAATGCCCAATCTCAGACGCCTTAAAGTGGAGGTCTGCAAGTGCACTGGTAATGGCACCGTCGCTGTAGTCCTCAGGGGGAGTTATTTCCAAAACCAAAAGCAAAGTAACCGCTTGTCAAATTCTTTAAACACTGCACATTCTTGAATGTAGTCCTTTCCATCGGTAAAGGTTCTGAACTCTGTCAACTGCGCATCGCTGAGCTGCCATCGCTTGGCAAAGGTCCATAAGAACTTGTCATCGGAGTCTTTGAAATACAAGGTGCATCGCTCGGCTTCGAAATGGGAAGGGCCATCAACTGCAAAAGTCTTGCAAATTGTTTGTAGCTCTGCGTGCTTCTTCTGCCTCTCAACCTTGTTCAAATCCAGAAACATCAAGTTAATCATTCCCAGCGTGCATCCACACAGGACACCTCTGAGGCGTGGGGTGAAAGCAAAAACGAAAACGAATTACACAGTCCAAAAAATATAAAGTAATAAATAAAACTTGGGCTTCAAACAACCACAACAAAAAACAAAAACTTGGGAAACACCGCGGGATTGGCTGCCGGGCCTATTGCAGATCCCGCCGTCCCCATGAACTTCACAACTGACATCTGCCGCTGCTTGTCCGTGAGTTTCGGCTGTGGAAGGCCCAGCTTTGAAGCAGCAGCCTCCAAAGTACCACCAAAACAAACACCTGGCCGGCCGGAGGTGTGAGCAAAGCTTCACGAATGCACATGCCACCATTTCAACGTCACTTTGGGAAAGGCTGAAACAAACTGGGGGCTTCTTCCGAGCTGTACAGGTTTGCAGTTGATCTGGAAATACTTGCCGGACACTTCGCCTGAAAAATCGGAGACCACTTGCCCAGCAGCAGCTGATGCCATCGTGCTGAGCCCCAGCACCAAGCCCAAATGTTCATCGATGAACTCTCCTGCGCACGCTCAGCAGGGCTGTGGGAAATGGAATCCACTGTGATACAACACAGGGCCTAACCCCAAAGACTAACCCCCCATATAAAGGGGGAGATTCCAACTTGTATCACAGAAGTGGGGAAAAACCCCTTGATCCCACAACCCTGCTTAGCAAAAACTGGGCGTGCTTCACTGTGCAACTGCATGGCTGCTCCTGCATGAATCATAATCGTGTTATCCTTGGCGCGCCGCGAGGCTTGCAACGACAATGTCGACATGCAATGCTTCCCCCACAGGTCACAACGTCCAAGCGTCCATCAAACCAAAACCAATCATCGGAACAGCGCAGGCGATGAAATGGCGACGCAAATGCAGCCGTGAAGGTGGACTCTCTTCTGCCTGGGGGCACAAGGCATAACACATGTCCCTGTGATTCACCCCGAACAGCATCTCGGTGCACTGGTTATTGTCAGCTCAGTGTGCCACAAGGACTGTCACAAGGTCTTGCATTGCAGGCACCACAGAAAGTCAAAGCTTCGCTGAAAAAATGGTCACACGTGGGCCATTTCCGTGGCACATATTGATACAGGCTGCTGACAAACAATCATGTCACCAGCTGCAAAGTCACACGGTGCACAAACGTCGCCGTATACAGCACTTTCAGGACGCATACCTGCATGCCCTGCTGTCACCCCAACATCTCTTGCCCAGTGCACTGAGCTGGGAGACCCAAGATGGGAAGGCACAATTGGGGGACATGGTAGATCGACACCCAAATATTTCTCGCCTGCACTGTCAATCAGAACTTCCCACTCATGCACACGCCCTGAAGAATCAACTTTGATTCTGCTTTCGTGATTTCCGCTTGTTTTGTTCGGGGGCAAGCTCAATTCAAATGGGGACAAATAATTTTCACACTTGCTGACAAACTCTTGATTGCCATTCCCCTTTCGGCAAGATTGCCTCTCCTTTCGCTATCTGTCCTTCCAATGAACTTGTCGCAATTCTTGCAAGGCAAGGCAATCACGGCGAGTCAAGCAAGCAGAAAGCCACAAAGCACGAAAAGAAACAGCCAACCAGCAGCATAAAAACGACACATACACACTCATGTTTGCGCACATGCGCATGCGCGCGCACACGCCCACCCACCCACCCACCCACCCGCCCGCCCGCCCGCCCGCCCGCCCAGCCCAGCCCAGCCCAGCCCAGCCCAGCCCCGCCCGCCCGCCCGCCCACACACACACACACACACATGCACACCACACGAAAACACGGTTTAAAACACACAAATCCCGAGTAAGAACTAGGATCTCCGACAAAGACACCTGGCTCGAGCTGAATCGCCGGGGTTTCACAGGCGCTCGGGGACGAAGTCGGAGAAATGCCGGCCGCATGCTCTTGATGCCGGCGCCGGTCCATCGCAACCAAGTCACACTGATCCGAAAAATGCCGCGAGTGGCGACTCGCTGGGAATGCAAAGGTGCCAAGACTAGGCAATTGCATGGTCACTCCACCACAGCCCCTCCTTCTCGAACACTGGGTCTGCATAGCCTCAAAAGTGGCCCTCAGCCGAGCTCTACTCAATGGAGGGCTGAGAGCGGCACAAGACTCACTTTGCTTGAAGCCCTTAAAGCCGCACTCATCATATATCCTCCGCCTGGGAATGCTACGCTACATCAAGCCGCGCCAAAAAAAAAAAAAAACGCGGAAGAACCCGGCCTCTCAGGATCAGTGAGAACCAAGTAGGCCTGATATACAGGCGGGTAAGGAATGCTGGTAGATGAGACGTCGCCTCATTGATGAGCCAAAACCTGACAGGTCAACATTAAGTGTCACAACGTGGACCCAGGAATGGCACCTTCGCAGGACGGCACGACGGTCCAGCGGCGGCCGATCACCTTCCAGGTTGCCACAGGTTTTGCCCTCAGAAGGGTTGGGTTCCTCTTTGTCGATATCCAGCATCCGGATGCCACTTTTGCACCACACGGTGGTACCTCATAGCTTGGGCTGAGCCAAGTAAGGTCTGGCGCATGCTAAGGACTTGGCGCAGCACGCACGCGGCTGGACGACAGGGAGATGCGGGGCAACTCCAACCTTGTGTGTCGCTACTTTCTGTGCAAATCTGTGGCTGGAACCAAGGCTGGGCAGCACACGCGCTATAGTAATCACGATCGGTTTCATTTTCCCATAATTCATCATCTTCAGCCTTGGACTCGTGGATGACACTTGAAAAACATGCAGTTCAGTTGGGACCCCGGCTGTCCAATCCTCGTCTTCGTCGCTTTCGGCATCCGAGCTATCCGCTTCCTTCGTCGTTCTCCGCCCCTTCAAACAACTTTTTTCGGGCCCCGGGAATCCTGCGGCTTTGCAGAGCAAGTCAGGTCATCATCGAGCTCTTCTGCCTCCAATGATCAAACAAGGGTCCCGATTTGTGTTGGGAATTTGTCCCGCTTTGCTTTTTTTTTCCTGGATTTTCTGTCTTGGAACTGGCAGGTGCGTTCTCCCTTGGTTCTTCTGTGGTTTGACTCGTTTTGCACCAGCGCTGTCAACATCCCCGGCATCGTTTTAATTCGGCAGCATCCTTTTCAACATCCTCAGCATCACGAGTTGGATTTGTTAGGCTGGGTTTAGGGTGGGTTTAGGTTAACTAGGGTTGGTTCATGGTGGGTTCCAGGCTTGTTTAAGGCAAGTTCGGGGGTGGCTGCGCTTAATTACTAAATGGTTTAGTGCTGGTTTATGGTGGGCTTCTTGGGGGTTGGTTCAGGGGTTTAGGGCTGGTTTAGGATGAGTCTAGAATTGGTTTAGGCTGTGGTTGTGTTTAGGTGGGATGGTGTAGTGTTGGTTTGGTTTGTTTGGCGGGGGTTGGTGTCGCGTTTGCTTTGGGCTTGTTAAGGGTTTCGTTTGGGTTTAGTGCTGGTGTACGGGGGGGTTAGGGGTTGCTTTAGGGAGCTATAGGGTTTGCTTAGTGGGGGTGGTTTGAGGTTTGAGGTGGGCTTATTAGCAATGGCTTTGTGCTGGTTTAGCGCGCATCGTATAATACAAACCCACTCTAGACCAGCATCAATACAGAATAATACAAACTTGGTGCAGACTTAGGGTTGGTTTGGGTGGGGTTCGGGATTTGTGTTTGGGGTTTAGGGTTGGTTTAGGGTAGGTTTAGGGTAGGTTTAGAGTTGAGGGATAGTCCTTTGCTGGTTCAGAGTGGGTTTGTTTAGGGTTTTCTTTAAGGAGTTTTGCTGGTTTAAGGTTTTCTTTCGGGTTTCTTTAGGGTTGGCTTTTAAGGTTGGTTCTAGTTTTAGTGGTGGTTTGGGGTGGGTTGGTAGTTTGGGGTTGGTTTCGTGGTGGTTTAGGATTGGTTTAGTATTTTTTGGCCCAAAACGTGAGTTTAGGACCGTGGGCGTTGGATTCATTGGGGTTCGTTGCCTACGAAGAAGCGGGGGGGCTGGGGGGGGCGCAGCCCCCCCCATCTACAGAAACATGGGAGGGAAGAAGCCACCAGCCAAAAGTCCAAAAAGCCAAAAGGGTGATGCTGGGGGTGTTACTGGTGATGCTGAGGATGCGGAAAGCCAAAGCCACAAAGGCCACAAAGTAAAGCCAAAAAGCCAAAAGCCAAAAAGCAAACAAAGCCAAAAAGCAAAAAAGCCAAGAAACCAAAAAGCCACGAGCCAAAAGCTAAAAAGCCCAGACTCCAAGAAGACAAAGGCCAAAAGCCAAGAAGCTAAGAGATAAGGCAAAATCCAGGAAAAAGTCCTAAAGAAAAACATGAACAATTCCCAAAATAAATAGCCCTCCATCAAACAATCATCCTGCTCGCAAAAATGGCGCCTGCCTCACTGTCCTCAGCGTCGTGCATTTGAAGAGCTCTTGGCCACTTGCATGCATGCCAACCAGGTGCATAGGCGTGGGCTGGGTCAAGGGCTGTTTCCTGACCCAAGTTGAGAAAAACACATGGTCGTATCAATGTGCTCGTGCTTACGTCCCTCTGCCAAAACTGCGCTGGCATTCTTGAGCTGCATTACTAGGGAGCACTCCAAACATGTCCCTTCACAGTGGCAGCACTAGCCTTGATGCGTGCCAGGTGGTCCCTGCATGGTGCCTGCGTGTGGCTAACAATGAGAACACTGTTTTGTGGGTGGACGCCTCGCATTTGGGCTTGCGGCCTCAATCTGGAAACTCCTCGAGCCGCGGCGGCTTCCATCAACGCGTGTCAAATTAATTTATCGTTAAAAAAATGTTCGTAAATAGCACCTTGGCTGCTGACGAAGCAGGTGGAGGATAGAAAATTGAATAAATCTCGGCGTGAGCGGCACCACGGACGGAGGAGGCAGCTTCCGCGAGGGCCAAACAACGAGGCGGCGACGTTGGAAAAACTCTGGGTGCGCCCCCTCCACAAGCGGGCATCAGCGACGAGAGCCGGGCATTGGAACTCACCCGCGCCCCAGCTTCATGGCATCGAGGGCCACCCACACCGCACTCCTTGAAGGGCCGAGGCCGCAGAAGCCTTGGCAGGTTTGGTTCTGGACAGCGGCATTGCTGTTGCAGCGGGAGCGACCTCTGGCCCTGGCGCCGCCGATGTTATCCGGCTGCCAAAGCTTCCCCACATCAAGCCCCCAATCCGATGGCACAGGGAAGGACCCCCCAAAAAAAAAACGCTAGCATGATGTGTCGGAAGATTCCCGCTTGTTTTGGCGTGGCGCACGGGTGGCAGCAAGCTGCCTCTGCAGCCATAGCTTTGCAGCACGCGCGCTGCTGTCCCCATGTGCCGGGAGTTGGTTTTGGATCCAACGCCTTCTGGACAGTTTGGCACATGGAAGCTACGTTTGTCTGCCCATGGCATCCATGTAAGTGCGGAGGTCCGACTCACAAATATGCACTATGCAAAGGAGTTTGCAATTTTCTGCTATTTTCTCCGCGCAATGAATTGATCGTGAACTTTCTGACCGCACGAAGCCTTGGGTACCCCGAAACCTACCTGAAACAGGCGGTGCCGAAAGAGGCGAGAAAAAAAAGGAGACAGCTGGCGGAAGCACGCCACGACCACCTGCAAGGGGAGCGGCTGGGAACTTTTGGTACGTCCCCGGCGACAAGCACGTCGCCAAGGTGGCCGCACATCCGCAGCAGCCCACACAAGCAAGGGCCAAGCGCCGCCCAACAGGCACAGGCGGAACCACCGACGCGACGGCACGGCGTTGCGCGTGGCAGAGCAGCGCAAGCTCGCTGCCTACCCGGAGCTCCGCTGCCCGAGGCCCGTCTTTGCGTTGGGCCTTGCGGCTCTCACCGAGGCCCTCTCGACAGGCCAGCCAGCCAGCACGCGGGAGCAGCGACATGGTCGCCAAGCGCATCGCGGGCAGTCCACAACCGCGGCCAGCGTCCCTGCACGGAGCAGTGGAGATGGGCAAGGCAGTGGCGTCGCAGCACAGTGCCAAGCGTGTCGAGCCATGATAAACAAGGTCCAGGCCGCGCCTTGGGTAGCCACTGCTGGGGGACAACGCGCCCATCCGGTCCGGCACAGCCAGGCTTTGCTCGAGCAAGGGAGCATGGCGCGCAAGCAAGCCGCTGCGCGGGCAAGCCGCGGCATGGTCGCCCAACGTGTCGGGAGCAGCCCCGCAGCGCCCGTGCATCAGGGGCAGGGGAGGCACGGGCGATGGCGCAATGCGACATGCATGTGCGCCGGAGGCAGCATGGTCCCCGCATCAGCGGGCACAGTGGCCAGCCACACCCCGACGTCCGGGCACGACTGCAAGCGGAAACAGGCACGCTCGCTCGGCCTGTGTGGCAGCCGTGGCAAAAGCTCCGTCTCCCAATCACCAGGCTCGCCGTCAACTGGAATCGGACAAGGGGCCTGCAGCGAGCCGCCAGGCCCATGCATCTCTGCCCTCGCAGGGGCGTCCTCCGGGTGGCGCACGCCCAGTCTCTGGAGCGATGCAGGGGACAGCGACTGCGACGCCGCGCCGCTTGGGCGTGCGCCGGCCTCGACTGCCAGCCCGCGCGCGCCTTCCAACAGGGGCATGCGGCGAGCGTGCCCGGGCCGAAGAGGACTTGCTGCAGCAGCTGCCGGAGCTGCCGAACTTGCAGTGCGCGTGGCTCCTGCATTCTCAATGCGCAGCCCTCGCTCGCACCACGTGCTACGCACGGTGCCACCGTCCGTCGCTGCCCCCTATGCCAGGGCGCACGACGAAGCAATCTGGACTACGGTCCGCGCTTTGCCAAGAAACCCGCGAGCCGAGGGCGCCGAGTGGGACCGCGCGCGCGCCTTGGCATCACTGCCAGTGCGTGAGGGAGGGCTGGGCCTGACGCCAGCCACGCGGCTCAGCCCTGCCGCGTATTGGATGGGCTGACGCCCTCCCCGTCATCCAGGCCGCAGGCCCGAGTTTGCCGCGCAATGCGTCCGCGCCTTGGATGAGGCAGCGGGGGACTTCAGCCAGTGCTTAGCTGAAGCGGCGACCGCGCGAGACGTGCTAGTGCGAGCCGGCTGGGGGGCTTGCCCCGGATGGGCGGACTTGCTGGCGGGCGGCCAGCCGCCCGGACTTTCTGAGGAGCCCGGAAAGGCGCCAGGGTTGGCAGCGTCACGCAGCTCTCTACCTTCATTCCGTTTTCCGGGAGCGCGACGTTTTGCCACTCCTCCGCGCCCAAGACCTTGCTCGGCTGCGCTCACAGTCCGGCCTGCAGGCGGGCGCATGGCTCTCCGCCATACCCACAGACCCGGGCGCAGTCCTGACTCCGGAGGCCACGCAACTTGCCCTTCGGCGACGGTTGCGGTTGCCGCTCCCTCTGACATACCGACGATGTGGTGCTGGTACGGGCCATGGGTGCGGCGCTGCCGTCGACGCCTTTGGGGACCATTATGCAGCGTGCACGCGCACAGGTCTTCTCGCCAGGCGGGCAGTTGTGCTGGAGCAAGCGTGGGTGCGCGTTGCCCGCGAGGCGGTCGGCCCTGGGGGCCGTGTCGTGCCGGCTTCGCGGATGGTGACCGGAGACGCTTCGACCTCGTCGTGTATGGGGCCACGGCGCGCGGCGAGGCTCTTTGCTGCGACGCCACTCTGGTGTCCCCCCTGCGGGAGGATGGGGCACCGGTACCGGGGGCTGCTGCCAGGGACGGCGTTGCCCTGCAACACGCTCGCGTTGGTGGCCGATGGGGCTGCGAGGCGGCCGAGCTCGTGAGGCGGTTCGCCCGGCTCCGCGCCCAGCGCGCGCCGCCTGCGCTGCGCGCCTCAGCGCTGGCCGGATGGAGGCGCCGCTGGTGGGGCATTCTAGCCGTCGCGCAACAGAAAGCGCTGACCTCCGGCCTGCTTGGCGCGTGGGCCACGCCTGGCTGCCTCGGGATGGCCCGCTGGGCCCGAGTGGTGTCGCGTTGCGTGGCTAGGCGCCCGCAACCGCCCACCCGGTGCTGCATACGGACACAACCACCCTCGCCGACGTGCGGGGACAAGAGAGAAGGAGAAAAACAAAAACAAAGAAAAAAACGGGGCGCTTGCTCAAGGAGTTGCCGCCAACACGGGCACTCCAGCCAGTGCTGCCGGAGCAGTTTGCCGGCACGCCGCGGCCTGCCTCGTCATCCACGAAAAGCTCCTGCACGCCTCCGCCACGCTTTGAGGAACTTGGGATTGTTCCCTTGGGCACCCTCATCGGGACCCCGGTGACCAGGAGCAAGGCTTGCTGGACGAGTTGCCGCAGCCAGTCAGCATGGCTGTCTTGCTTTGTGCCACGCTTCGGGCCCAGCACTTGCTCCGCACGGTCCCGCCATCCCAGTCGGCGGAAGGGTTTGGGTCTTTTGTGCGCTGCCCGCGCCGCGCCGGCCGCTTATTGGGCGGCGTGGGCTAACGCCCTGCCAGTGTTGATCCAACGTCGCCCGGACTCCTCAACAGCTGCAGAAGCGCGCGCGCTTGCTCACATCCATCGCCTTGGCGGATGCGATGGCAGCCACCAGCCTCATCCCGCCACAAATACTCAGACTGCCGCGCGTCAAACGCCCGGACAAAAGACACGAGCGCCGGCGCCGCGTCCGCGAGCTTGTCCAACAACCAAAGACACGACCGAGGACGCCGGGTGGTCGAGTTCAGTGGCCGAGCGAGGGGCGGCGCGAAGGAGCGCGGCCAAGCAGTGCGTCCCGGCTCGTGTTTGCAGCGCGAACTGGTACGGCCTGGTGGCTTCGAACGCCGGGCGAGGGCGCGGGCGACCAGGCGGCGAAAGGTGTCGCCTGTGGCGATGCCCCGCGCCCCACCATGTGGCTCCGTGAGGGCCGAAGCCACGAAGCTGGGCTCTGGAACATCGGCGTTGGCGAGCTTGGTTGCCGCCCGGCAAACAGTGCCAGCGTGTCCTCGTTTGCCAACAGGGTTTTGTAGTGGTCCACTGTGGCGCCTGACAAACGTCGTAGTTGCTTGGCCGTGGGGAGGGCATCTGCGACACCAGGCGTCCAATCGCACAGGAGGCGGCGGAAGCGGCTGCCGAAGGTAGGGTAAGCGGTGGGCCGGATCGGACAAGGCGACAAGTGTGCCCTTGTCGCCGGGGGCCGGAGCGGCGGACGTGAGCGCGCAAAGCACGAGCCCACGTTCGGCGCCAGCCACCATGAACGCAGGAACTGCGCTCACTGTGGGCGGCGAGAGCGGCGAACTCCGCGGCGAGCTCACCGATTTCGAGCCAGACCCAAGAAACTCGTGGCACGTGCGGCAAACGGCTCGCCGCTGTGGGGGCCGCAGCGCCAGAAGCCGAGGCGCGGAGGCTGTGCGCCGGCCCACTGCGGCAGCGCAGGCTCCGCAGGCGTCGGCCAGGTGATGCACCCCGCGGCCGCCTCCATGCCCCTGTGTTTTGTAAGCTCGCCTTCCTGGGCCGTAATACCCTCGCGCGGGGTCAGTGACCAGCCTCACGGCGGCTGTCGCAGAAAACGGCTTCGTGGACGCGGCCACCGCCGGCAAGAGGCCGGGCAGGCAGAAAATTGGCATGGATTGCCGGGAACACTCGCTCAGCACTGCATCATGGCTATCCGTCCGTCCCTGCGGCGGAGCAGCCGCTGCGCGCACAGCAGGCCAGCTGCTGTCGCAGCCTGCACTCGCAGTTGTGCCACGCAGCCCAGGTGGAAAAAGTGCGACGAGCAAACAGGGAATGCAATGACTGCGGCCGCGCCAAGGCTGTGTGGGGCCAGCTCGTCAAAACTTTTGGTGCACACCTGTTCCGCGCCGCCCGATGGCGGGATCTTTGGACAGGGCTTGCTCCGAGCCGTGTTTCGCGCCAAGCCCACCTCCAAAAGCAACTTGTACTGCTCAACACGCGCGACCGAGAGGCGTTCCCGCGATGGTTTTCGCGCCACCGCCGCGGCTGCTAAGAGTTAGCGACCTCTGGAGACCTCTCCCCGGACACGCCGCCACGCGGCGGCGCTGCGCCTGAAAGCCGTGGCGCGCGGCCTCGAGGACTTGCCGTGCTGAAAGTCGCGCACTCGGCGCAGCAACGCTTCCTTGCCCATGGGTCCCGCCTGCGCTGGCCGCGCCAGCAGCATGCGAGGCACTAGCAAGAAGAGTTTCCACGCGCGCCGGCGGCTGACCTCAGGCCCATGCTCACGATGTGACTGATCCACCTCGGCCAGCAGGCGCGTCTTGCAGGGTGGGCACGGGGTGCTTGAACTCCTCAACGAGGCTGAAGGCATCCAACGACCGCCAACAACCTGCCGGCCAGCGCCAAGTCGCGGCGCCTTACCGATTGGGGGGGGGGCCTGGCTCAGGAATGCTTTATTAGACAAACGTCCCAATAAGTTGGAATATAAATGATGAAACGGTGACAGCAGTACGAGGTATGGAGAGACCGAAGTACCTTGGCTGTCATGTATGTAAAAGCTACCCCTGGAGACCACGACGCGCGGTCAATTTCGTTTCTTGCCACCAGTCAAGAAGGGGCTCACAAGGCCGGTCTGTGGTGGGAGGGCGGGTCAGCAAGGAGGCCAAGGCGCGTCAAGGAACCCCGCGTGGCCTGGGCGAAGAGTTTTCCCAGTCGCCACGGAGGCAGACCCTGCTGCCAATCCTGCCCGTGGAGGGTCGGGTTTTTGACACCATCGGCTGCTCGGCCACGCTCAGCGGTTCGCGCCTGTCTCCCTTTCGCACGGCGGCTTTGCGCAGCACCCCCGGTGTGTGGGGCATGACGCTGCGAGCCGGCCACGCAGGCAGAAGCCGCGTTTGTTGCGGCCAGGCTTTCCGAGGGATAACTACGGAGCGACGACGAGAATGGGTGAGCTGACCATTGGTGTTCGGCGTTAAGAAGGCAAGAACCAAGAAGAAACAACTGTTAACCTCAGGCCACGGCCGGCAACAAAAGCGCTAAGATGAGGGGCCGACGGAGCCTCCATAGCGAAAGCAGGAGTGCAGCCAGCTTCAACCAAGCGCCGCCATGAGACCCAAAGGAATTGTAGGAACGCCGCAGTGGCAGCGTGCAAACTAATCTCTTCCCCCTATTAATAAATACGGCCCCCCCCCTATTATAAATAAATCCCCCAAAAATATATATATATATATTTAATTGGGGTTTTTGGGGTTGGTTTTTTTTTGCTTTTCCAACAATGTGAGGGTTCACGTAGGATTTGGATGAAATGGATTGAACTGTAAGGTCCGCGAGTAAGCGGTTCAATAAGGAAATTTGATGTATAATTATATTTGTTTACCAGTTTACTGATTGTTTGTTTGCAGCCAGGCAGGTTAATTAGCCAGCATGTACGGGAGAGAGACAGTCGCAGCTAGAAGACAGCTTTTGGGGACATGTTTTCTTTTGAGGGACACCCCAAAAGAACCCAACCTTTTGAGAAGCCAGCTTTTGGGAAAGCAACCTTTTGGGGAATTGAGGAACCCACCTGTTGAAAAGTGAGGCTGGAAGCTTGCCAAAAGTGCCTCCTAATAAGGATTCCAAGACGTTAGTATTGGTTTAGTATTGGCGCAATGGAAAGTCAATTGTGTGGAGTGGAAATCTGGTCCCGGGCCCCGGATTTGCATTTATTATTAATTGGGGTCCTGGAAAACGCACGCACGCCGGAAGCAACAGGGTGCGCAGACACTGGTTGCCCGCATGGGGCTGCAGCACCCTGTCGGGATCGTCCCAGCTCCAGCTCCCCATGCCATTGTCATCGCTGCTTGGGCTCTTTCGACGACCACCGCGTAGCGTGTTCTCAGGCAGCCTTGTTGCGGAGCGAGCTCGCATTCCACCTCCGCCCGGCTGTTGTCATTTCGCCGGGGCAACTCCCCAGCCCGGACTTGAGCGTACTGCGTGCTGACTCCGCTTGCCCGCCGCTCACCCGCAGCCGTCTGCCCCGACGGCATTCTGGCACTTGCTGTGCCTTGCACGGGGGGAGCTGGCCTCCAGAACAACAGCCTCCCATAAGCGCCGACGAGTTGAGACAGCGAGGAAGGTGCAGGGAACAAAAAGCATCCACTGTCGTCAGAGCACACGCTGCTGGGCTTGAGTCCCTGAGGTGGCCACGCTGTTGATGCTCTGGGTATGCCCGCACACGGGCCTGCTGGCTTGCTGAGGCTGGCTCGCTGCAGCTGGCGAGCAGCCCGGGTCGCCCGAGAAGCGATCGAGTGTTGCTGCAAAGTCCCGCAGCAAGAACCAACACCACTGCTACATGAGTCGCCTCGCGCCGCCTGGACATGGAGCTTTGTGGTGCCAGAAAACGTGGCAATGCCGTGTGTTGCGACGCCACGCTCGTCAGCCCGCAGCCTCACACAGGACGTGACGGAGTCGCGCTCACCATCCGAAGCTCGCCAGCTAGCGTGCACCGGGCGCCTCAGGCACTCCCCGTCTTGAGTGCGCGAGCTGGCTTTGTTCGGAAAAAAAAAACGGCAAATTCCGGCACGAGAATGCAATGCCGCCCGCAGAGCGCATGACGGGCCCCTCGGCGAAGGCATGCGCGCGGGCCGAAGAGGCCGCGTGTTTCAGCTGTCCAGGCCCTCCAGCAGCGCTGGTCTGTGCCAGTTTGGTGATGTTTCACCCTGACAGCCTAGGCGGGTAAAATCCTTTGGGGATGGCCACAAACATGGGTCGAAGGAGCAGGTCAAGGACGTACCACCTCCAAACAAATGTCCAGGGCTTGCAAATCGTTGGGTGCTACGCGACAAACACGTTCCAACAGAGCTTCCAATTCTGCTGGATCCACTGGTTGTTTGTTCTGGAGCAAGCTCGAGGACCATACACGGCGGAAGATGTTGAAGGCATGTGTGGGCCTTCCCGCTTCCTTCCCGCAAGGCGGTGCCAGGGGTGAGCGCTCTAGATGTCGAGCAGCCGAGAGCTCACCCAAGGTGGACGAAGACCAGGCCTCTTGAAAACGCTTGGTTGCTGCAGCAACACGGCGGGGCAACAAAAACCCGAGCTTCCACGTTTGCGTGGATCTGTCCTCGCAGAGCAAGCACACAGTTTGCCGCACAGGGCCACTAACAACGAACGAAAAAACAGACCGGGAGCTCAAGCTGCAGCGCCCGCTGAATTTGCCGGTCGGCTGGTGGTGGCATGGGGGTGGGGCGGCATGGGGTGTGGCGGCTCTGGCTCGCTGTTTGGTGTGCTCCACGTCCGCATTGGCTGGGGGCACGGCTTTTGCCCGCAAACGCGCCGCTGCTACTGCGGCTGCTGCCGGCGCTGCTGCTGCCGCCTTGGCTCAAGGAAACACATTGCGGCGCAGAAGGGGCTGGTGTTTGATTGCTTGCTTGCCTGCCTGCCTGCCTGTCTGTCTGTCTTATGTGTTCTTTTTGCTTGTTTGTTTGTTTGCTTGCTGGCTTGCTTGTTTGTTTGTTTGCTTGCTTTGCTTTGTGGTTTGCTTGCTTGCTTTCTTGTTTGTTTGGGTTGGCGCCCTGTGCCGGTCAGTGCCCGTGCTGGGCCTGCGGGCCCGCGGGCTCGTGGGCTCGTGGCAGAATGGACCACTCTGGGAGGGCAGTATGGGAGGGCAAGGACAACCATTGCCAATCAGATTCCAAGGACGGACCAAAGCAATGTGTGAAAACCTCAGAAAATGCTGGCAGATAATAGTGACGGGGACAGCAAAGTCGGTGCATCCATGCCATCAAGGCTGGCAGAGGGTGTCCAGCCGGGCTATTGGCAACTGTAGGGCGGAGGTGCTTGAATAGGGCAGAGAGCCGCAAGCAACCGAATCGCATGTGACATACGCATGTGTGGCGCGTGCTATTTGGCAAATTGCCATCACGCCTTGTGCTGCAGTGTTAGTTGCACTTCGACGTCTTGAAGCTTACCGCCAGTGACAAAGCACCCAAGGCCTCGCTACCGGCAAGGCCTATGCACGGTGAGTCTGCTCTGGCTTGCTTTTCCCCTGATGTCACACTTGCTACATGCCATAAGAACATGTGCACAATGACTTGAGTGTATCTTAGCATCCTTGGTTGTTGCATAGCGCGTTCTAAACATTTGCTTTGGGAAGATGCAGCGTGCTCGTGTCAACTATAATTGCACAAGTGTGTTTATTGATGCACATCATCTTCCCGCTGGGATTCAAAGGCCATCGTACACACCTGTTTGTTCGACTGGCTTCCTGGCAATTGAGAAGTCAGGCAGACTCAGAATGGGTCAGTGCACCGTCAGACTACTTCCCGTCTTCCGTACATTGCCGCAGCCCATCTCTGGATTTCAACAGCTTGCCGTTTGCGTCGCTCGCCGCTCCCAGCTCTTGATCCGCACTACCGTATGGGCGAGAAAACAGCGGCCGCCCCTCTCGAGCAGGTGACGTTCGAAGTCGAGTTGTGACAAATGTTGGCCTGGTGCATCCCAGGGCATTGAGCAGGTTAACGTTTGCGGTGCCTGGTGGACTTTGTGTTGCCAAGCTCAATGTGGCATTGCCACATGGCTGTGGCAAACCATTGGCTGTACCTGATTGCACTCGAATTTGCCAGCAGTATGCAAGCGTCTCAGCTCTTTTCTCAATGCACAGATTCCTTGTCTGTCTTTCAAGATCTGGTATCTAGAGGCAGTAGCAGGTCAATTGGAAGTTTGTCGGATGTTTTCGCGTAATCATTTTGAAGTTGCCTGCGCTTAGTTATCTTGCTCAATTCATGAGCAGCAGAGCCTCTTTCCGCTGTTCCAGGCCAAAGCAGCAGCTTAAGGACAAACCCTTCAGATCTCATCGGAGCAGCGCTTTACGTTGCCAAGCAGTCTTGCCATAGGGGTCCTTTTAGGGAAAATAGATGGGTTTCCCTGGTAGATGATTAAACCACCAGGTAAACCAGGGCTATCTATTTTTCTACCAAAACAACCAAAAAGGACACCTATGACACTTGCCCGCAACCCGAAATTCGGCCCTTTGACGAGTCAAGAGCCGGTGGTGATCTACGAGGCAGTTGAGCAGAGCTGTGGTGGACTCGGTTCGGCTCACATACTTGTTCGCGGTGGCGGCAATGCAGTCAACGCGCGAGCGCACCGGAGCCATTTGTGCCAAAGAGTTCTTCTCTCTGAGCAATCTCTAGTCAGAATGTGGTGCTTGTCACCGACACTAAATCAGAGGCACATCTCAGGCTATGGGACAAATTGTGCACTGCATCCAGACTTTGTGGTCAGCAGCACGAAAGCAGCAACCGCTTGGGCCACTCTCACCCGACCTTTACGCGCGCTCTCGGGCTTCCAGGCGCGTCAGCCTGCAACAGGCAACAGGCAATGAAAAAGTGTCCCTAGGGGGGGGGGGGAAAAACGAGAATTTGTTTATGTTCCAAAAAAAAGGAACCAAAAAACAACAACAACCAAAGGAAAAAAAGGCGGAGTTCGCCTCGCCTATACTTGGCATCTGGCACCAAGGGTGATCCGCACGCTTCGAACCACGCGGGCTCCACGCTGAGGGGCACCTCACACAGCATTTTTTGAAACCGGCGCGCCGTTTTTGGGTGTACAGGGACTTTTTGGGTTGCTTTTTGGGTTGCTTTTTTGGGTTGCTTTTTTGGGTTGCTTTTTTGGGTTGCTTTTGGGTTGCTTTTTTGGGTTGCTTTACCCTGTTGGGAGACCGAAGCCCTGTCGGAATTCCCCCCAAATTTGGAGAGCCCGCAAAGCCGCAAAGCTTTTTTTTCGGGCCAAATCCCGGCCTGCTGATAACCAAGACGCTCGGCAACAAAGTCCAGAACCTGCATGCGCCATCCGGCCCAGGAACGGTTTGGCTTACAAACGGCCTGGCTCTCCTGGCGTCCACTGCGCACTTGGCCAGCGAAGAGAATCACAGGACCTTGGGCTCCCACGCTTCGCACTCTTCGCACCCAGTGCGTAGTCTACGCTCAGTAATGACACAAAAGTGGCTCCAAATCTAGGCCACTGCCCGTCGATCGACGGCGAATGTCCTCACAGCATTTGCCGACACTCTGGGCTACGCCTGGCATATTCACTCAGGAAATTCTAAGCACAGTCCTGTATAGTCTGCATGAATTCGAGCTGCAGCTTACCACTCCACACCTCTTTGATGCTAGTGCTCTTTGATCAAAACACTGCCAAGGTCCGAACATGGAATAATAGATCGCCACAAAGCACTACATCAAATGCTTGTTGTAGCTCCTGTGCCAGGCAGCTTTTGTCACATATGCTGACGTTGAATAGGCCAGCCCATTGCAAGCGATCCTCTGGCAAAGGTCTACCCCAGGAATAGCCCACCACTCGCGCTCGGTCAACCTTGCATACTGTGGGATGCAAGGCGTCACAATGGTGTTTTCCTTGGATGGATTGTCTGCTCAGCACAACGCCCAAGGAAAGTCGGGAGATCTGTTCCGGCTCAAGTTGTCCCTCACAGTCTGGACCTGGAACGATGCGACGCACATCCTCAGGCAATCCCCAAGCGAGATTCGGGCATTGTCGGGCAAATCACACAGCACCACCTGCCACTTGGCAGCGCAACGCTGTTAAGCTCGAAGAAGCATCCCGTGAGAACCCGAAAAGTGACGGGCGTGCCTCATGGCCAGCCTTTGCCAGCGCAATGCCAGCAAGACCTCAACTCGTTCGATTCGGGGCATTGGGTCTGAGAGACTTCGCAGCCAAGCATCCAGTCCCACAAGATAGGTCCAGAATCCGACTGGGCAAGGCTTCGAACGGAGCCTACCAGACCAAAGCAATCACAGCATTTCACCTCACGAATCTGTGCCTCCAAATGCCTTGCTAGCAACCAACTTCCTGCCCATGTTCGCCAGCCTCAATGCGCAATCAGCTCACTTGGCTCGCATCCGCAGCTCCGTGCCTGTGTTGGTCAGCACGGCGTCACCCTCCGAGAGGACAATCTGATTCCTGAACTGGCAAATTCCAACCGCAAAAGCGCTTCGCGTTTCGGCGCGTACCCCAGCAGGCAGTAGGACCGCGTCGGTCTCACTGGTGGCTCAGGCTCACCTCGGACTGAAAAAGTCTCATCGCCATCGCATAAACACCCTCATCGCCCCGGCTCAAAGCTTCCGTGCATTTCACCTGACAGTTGGCAGAGACGCGGAAGCTTGCAGCAGAATCTGCTGCCGAGACCTCCAAGTAACATGGTCTGTTGTCCCCATGCTATCCTTGAACTGGCTTGAGTCTCTGGTATCTCTGTAGATGCCACGCTCAGAAACCACTGACTTCTCACGAGTTCCTCGCAAAAAGTCAGGAGCTCCAACAAGCCATACTCCCAGCAACTGGGCACCTTTGTGGTGCATGGCAGTGGGGTGAAACACGTGTTGCATTCCCCAGCTCAGGTGGACTTGATTGCGTGACACAGGCCCTTGAGCCTCTGACAGGGCATACGCCCCTCATGTTTGCTGACTGGATGTGCTAGGCTGCTAGGCAGTGGCCCACGTGCCACGCAGAACCAAAAAAATGCGGCGCGCGCTTTGTGCGTCAGGAAGTGTCCTACTCAGGCACCTCAGAGCGCCTCCACAGCTCAATTGGCCTGGCAAGCTGACGGCCACAGTGGATGTCTGGGATCACCCTTCTTGGATCTAAGCCATCACTTTGTCCGGAAGCTGCCCACCGCCTCAGACCCCTTCAACTCCAAGACTGCGAATGCCGAGCCCAGGAAAGAATCCTGAGCTCGCTCGAAAGCATCCTGAGCTCGCTCAAGCGAGCTCATGGAGTGAACAGCTGAGCCACGCGCGCAAGTGTTCCGGATGCCCCCTTGACTATGGCCTAGACTATGGCCAATTCATGTTTGTGTGTTCCTGTCCACGTCTCTGTTTCTGTGTGCGTGTTTTTGTGCGTGTGGGTGTGTGGGTGTGCGTGGGTGTGCGTGGGTGTGCGTGGGTGTGCGTGGGTGTGTGTGGGTGTGCGTGTGCGTGTGCGTGTGCGTGTGCGTGTGCGTGTGCGTGTGCGTGTGCGTGTGCGTGTGCGTGTGCGTGTGCGTGTGCGTGTGCGTGTGCGTGTGCGTGTGCGTGTGCGTGTGCGTGTGCGTGTGCGTGTGCGTGTGCGTGTGCGTGTGCGTGTGCGTGTGCGTGTGCGTGTGCGTGTGCGTGTGCGTGTGCGTGTGCGTGTGCGTGTGCGTGTTGTGCGCGTGCGCGTGCGCGTGCGCGTGCGCGTGCGCGTGCGCGTGCGCGTGCGCGTGCGCGTGCGCGTGCGGGTGTGCGTGTGCGTGTGCGTGTGCGTGTGCGTGTGCGTGTGCGTGTGCGTGTGCGTGTTGTGTGTTGTGTGTTGTGTTGTGTGTGTTGTGTGTGTTGTGGTGTGTGTGGTGTGTGTGTGTGGTGTGTGTGTGGTGTGTGTGGTGTGTGTGGTGTGTGTGGTGTGTGTGGTGTGTGTGGTGTGTGTGGTGTGTGTGGTGTGTGTGGTGTGTGTGGTGTGAGTGGTGTGTGTGGTGTGTGTGGTGTGTGTGGTGTGTGTGGTGTGGGTGGTGTGTGTGTGTGTGTGTGTGTGTGTGTGTGTGTGTGTGTGTGTGTGTGTGTGTGTGTGTGTGTGTGTGTGTGTGTGTGTGTGTGTGTGTGTGTGTGTGTGTGTGTGTGTGGTAGTGTGTGTGTGTGTGTGTGTGTGTGTGTGTGTGTGTGTGTGTGTGTGTGTGTGTGTGTGTGTGTGTGTGTGTGTGTGTGTGTGTGTGTGTGTGTGTGTGTGTGTGTGTGTGTGTGTGTGTGTGTGTGTGTGTTTGTGTGTGTGTGTTTGTGTGTGTGTGTTTGTTTCTCTGGTGTTGCGTTTGTTGGCTTGCGCAAACCGTCAAAATGGTGAACCTCTGTTGACTTTGGCCAGGACGACATCAAAAGCTCGTGTGCGTGCGTGTGCGCCTTTTGAGGGTACCTTTTCAACCTTGGTTCAAAGGGAAACAAACACGGACAACCTCTTCTTTGGGGGGGTCTCCCGAGTTTGACACATCCGAGCGTCATCCTGGCTCTTCGAGCTCAAGGCTCTTTCCAGAGTACCATGGAGCGCCTGAGCACGCGTAGCCTTTCACACATGGACCAAAATGGCACCTTGGTAAATGGAACCAGCCAAAACCTGCGCAACCCTGGCTTTCATTTTGAGCCACGCCCATGTCGCAATTCTGCAACCTAGTTGGAGGATCAAGGCTGAGATTGAGTACCATGGAGCGCCTGAGCACGCGTAGCCTTTCACACATGGACCAAAATGGCACCTTGGTAAATGGAACCAGCCAAAACCTGCGCAACCCTGGCTTTCATTTTGAGCCACGCCCATGTCGCAATTCTGCAACCTAGTTGGAGGATCAAGGCTGAGATTGGAATGCTCATCCCGTGATCATGGGAGTCCTCCCTATGAGTCGCAAGTAACCAGGTGTATTTTTTGCCATTGCATTGGCCTGGGGGAAGGGACCTGCAAGCAGCCAGCACTTGCATGCACAATTTGCTAAGCGCAGCTTTGATGCTGGCCGCTTGTTGTTTGCAGTTGGCGAAGGCGGGTGAGCCTCAAGATCCGGCGCCCCTCAAAATAGGGTCCTGGAAATTTGTTGCATGCGGTCGCGATCTATGCGCAGCTTCAGTCCCCTTGTAGTTTCCTTCTAGTTTCCCTAATACCAACCAAAAGGGCTTCAACGGGAAACTCGGCAGTTGCGTTCTTTCCCTGCAGCCCGGCGGCTGGAGGCGCAAAGCTCTCTGACGAGGACGCAGGTGCCCTCGGCGGCGCCGCCTCTTGCATGACCTCGTTGTCGCCCGATGGTGGACACAAATCCCCATGTATGATCATGGGGATGAAGAAGTTGATGTCTAGCAAAGCATCCGCAATTGAATTTCGGATCTTCAAAAGTTGCAACCATCTGAGGCAAATGACCTCTGTGAGGCGTTCAAGCCTCTAGAAAATGCATTCCCACAACCGCGACAGAAACCAACGAAAATAACACATTATTTTTCCAATTCTACTTTGGAGCAAACCTCTGCCCCCGCGGGTCTTTTGAAAGGGGCCGGGCTGAAGCCACCTATCTCTGAGCTCGTGCCATGGCGCTTCGTCAGGCGGAGGCGGTGGCGGGACAGTATCCTGCGCAAACAAACGAGAATGGCGGGCGCAACAGGATGCTGAAGTCGTGTGGGCGCGTCTTATCATCGGGGGGACCCCTCAAATTTATTGGTTTCCTTTTGGTGTCCCTTTCAAGCCCACAAGGGGCACCCGTGCCCATGTACAAGGATCCTGGCGTCTCAGCGGAGGCTGCGGCACCCCGTCGTCCGTCACAGCGAACTGCTTTGGAGCTCCTTCCTGGTCCCCAGAGCAATGGGCCAAGCTGGGCACATAGAGCTCCCACCATGAATTTGAACCCTGTCTGGCCTCCCTCTTTTCTAAGCGTTGCTTAAACACTCAAACACCGCAGGATCCCGACTACCTCTTTTGCCCTCCCTATCTCTGCCGGGCCTGCTCTGCGCTGCCAGCCTCAAATGGGCGACGTTCTATTTGAGGCTGTGCTCGCCCCTGAGCTCGGGGCGTTCGAGGGGATGCGCACGACGCCCGCGGGGGCCGAGGCCGCAGTGCCGCCTAAGCTCGGGGGCAGGCCCAACAAACACCAGTTCCATCAAGGTCAGATTTTGTTGGCATACCGAATTTGCTTCAAGCTTCATCAAGCCATCTTGCGCAGCCGAGATGCCAGATCGACGCTTCCTGCGGTCCTCCAAATAATCAACAGTCAGACCGATCGTGGTGCAACCCGGCATTGCCACGTTTCTAGAACTTGCCCACAACACAGTATGGTGCATGCATTGCCAGACTTAGCCATTCGTTAACCTGTGGCTTGTTCATCAAATCCTAACGGACTAAAATGAATCAATAAATCAATTCGTGACACGCGCTTGCCTGCGTATAGACACATACACACTTAACCTTCTCCAATTCCCACTTGCTCGACAAGAGCACGACAAACATGGGTGTCGGGGTGAACTGCCATAGCCAGTCGCAAACTGACCTACTAATTACTTCGCCAACACCAGTTCTATTTCGCAAATCTCAAAACACACACACAAAAAAAAAAACACACACACACACACAGACACAAACACGCAGAGACGGACGGACGGACGGACGGACTTCTGAGTTGCAAATTTGCATACATCGGTGGGCGGCCATTTGCTTTGGAATCTGCGCAAGTAAACAAGTGCATCTTTGAGGGCCAGAATACAACATGAAAATTTATCGTGTTCTATATTGTGTTCTTTGCATTGTTCTTGTTGCGCAACAGTCAAAATGGTGAACCCTCCACAGAACAAACACATCATGTGTTTTCTGCTTGCGTAACCATCACTCTGCAAACTTTTGGCGGGTCGACCAATAACTCCATTTTTGTTTGCTTTTTCAGCTTGCGCAAATATCACCAGGTGAACCCTTTGTGGGCTTTCAGTGATCGTGGAACTGGCCAGGTAGGTAGATGACTGGATAGGCAGATCTACATACAAAAAACAGACGAAGGGTTGCCAAGCAAGGTCCAGTTGCGAAAGAGACTGATGGTTGGAACTCGCTTGTTCCAGTGAGTGGGCCTGCCCAACATTTGGCAGTTGGTCCGCCGTTTCGGGCAGCCGTTCTTCTAGGGGGCAGAGTTTTCGAACGTCAAAAGAGTTTGACTGTCCGCATCTAGTTTTTCGAGAGGGCATGCTGTCCTTTCGGCTTTGCGAGGCAAAGAGAAGGAGAAAGAGACAGTTGTAACTATAGTTGTTCTACCTTTGAAATTTCAGCCTGGATCTGCCAGACATTGGTAGTAGCAACACCAGCGCCCGCCGTCTCCCTTTTTCCATATGAGGGTTCAAAAAGATGAGATTTCAAGCCCACTAAATCGGAAAAGTTCGCCATGGTCAAACCTGGGGCCCTGAATAATATACTGATCAACCCCTATGCGTATGGGATCAAAATTAAGCCAGGAATCGGACTGCAGGTTCTAGTCAACTTCTTTAACTTCTTTCCATTCACCAGCCATATGGTTACCCTATGGTTCACAATCACCCCCATATATGGCCATGGGTCAAAACCCCGTGCCCCAGTGAACATCCCAATCCAACCACTAAAATAGGAAACCTAAAATGGGTGGTAAATTCACCTATCCCAACCAAAATGGGATCCCAAAACGGCTCAAAGCCCCACGGCCGTATATTGCACAAAGCGGCCGCTCGGCTTGGAGTCCTCGGTTCGCCTCATGAGCTGCAGGCGCTGGGCTTCCTCCTCGTCCAGCTGCAGACTCCGCAGGCGCTCGGCCACCGAGCTCATCTGCGCCATGGTGGACTTGTACCTCGATTTGGGTACGGGTCAAATCAAACCACCACTCAGACCGCAGGTTTTTTCGTCTTTGTTTCCATTTACCGATTTCCATTCTGGGTACCTGCAATAAAACCCCCACCCATTTCTCGTGTGTTTTTCTTTGAAACCCCAACGCAAACTGATAGCCCATACTTGTCTGACACGCTTTTCACGCCCTTTGCACAGCTTCTTGACACCTTTTCACACTTTTTGACACCTTTCTGGCGCAATGTTCAGCGCCTTTTGAAACACCTTGAGACCTCACCTTGTCCTCAGCTGCGCCGGATCATGGTAAGATTCTATGGCTGCTCAGATTATCAATTCTGTAGCGTGAGTGCTTCCATTTTTCCGGCGACAATTGTTCCATTCTTGGAGGTTGTCCAAGCAAATTCGCTGTCAAGGACTCGGGATTTGGTACGGAGGCTTGATTTCGGGTTGGATTTGGGCAGGTAGGATTGCTTTAGGGTGGCTTGAGGGCTGGCTCGCGGTCCGTAGTGCCTAGTGGCCCTCACCCTGGGGGCCATGGCCGCCTGCAACGAGTGGCTCTTGCAAGGCCCAAGCAACTAACTTTCACCTTGAGATGTCTGCGCTGGTTGGAGGGCGAGTGGTCCAGAAGTCACGCCTTGCCGGCCCAACCTGGGCTGTCGCCCTTGGCCACAGGGCAGTGCCCCAGACAGTTCTGTGGAGGATGTCGTCCTCACAACACGCTGGGCCATTTGCGGGAGGTTGCATGGGGACGAACCTTGCCTACCCAGACGCTCCCAATCAATTTGGGGCCCTCAAACAGCCGGGTTTTGAGACCCCAAACACCTCCGGGGTGTCTAATGCAGGGGTCGGGTCTTCCATTGAAAGCCCCAGGAGCCTCTGGGTACAGGGGAGGCGGACGTCTGTCTGATCGCGGTTGGCGAGACCCTGCAGCCAAGTGCTTGTGCACTGCCATTCGCGCCCAAACGCGCGACTGGCTGCGCCCATCGCAGGAAGGGAGAGTTGGGGTTGGAAAAAGTTGATCTAGGGCTCTTGATTGCTTGCTTGTGCGTGCGTGGTCGCTCGGTCACTTGCACAGGATGAAACGGAAACATACAGAAAACTGCAAGATGCCAAAATAAGTGTCTCCTCGTGAATTCATTTCTCCCATCATGGGAACTCTGTCCTTTCAGTATTCTTCCCCAAGACACAAGGACGCCAAGCGGAGAAGAGGGACGGCTCGGACATAGGCACGCACGCGCGCGCCTTCGGGGGCCTGGGGGCGACAAACATAGACTCACAGCCAGGGATGGTTTTTGCGGAGCAACGGCTGCCTCGCATAGAAAAGCCAAAGCTCCACAAAATGACCTGCACAACTTCTTCTCCGCCGCACCGGGCAAAATGCTGCAAGCAGACGCGTCACCCTCCTCCAAGGCCCAAAATGTTGCAGAACATTGAATTTGGGGAGAGAGTAGTGCGCATTTGTCTGGCCCGCACTTGCAATATTGGGGGCTTCAGCCGTATGTCCAGCCAAACAGCATTGCCAGCCAGGCAAAAAGGCAAAACAGAAAGAGAACTGGTACGTTCCTTGATGGAGCAGTGCTGAATCACTTTGATACAGGCGGACGGCACTAAATAATGCCAGGAGTCTCAGCTTGAGCCGTCCTCATGGCCTCGGTATTGTGCAACGTGCGCGCATGTGTGTGCGTGTGCGTGTGCGTGTGCGTGTGCGTGCGCGTGTGCGTGTGCGTGTGCGTGTGCGTGTGCGTGTGCGTGTGCGTGTGCGTGTGCGTGTGCGTGTGCGTGCGTGTGCGTGTGCGTGTGCGGTGCGTGTGCGTGTGCGTGTGCGTGTGCGTGTGCGTGTGCGTGTGCGTGTGCGTGTGCGTGTGCGTGTGCGTGTGCGTGTGCGTGCGCGGGCGCCGTGCGCGTTGCCGTGCGCCGTGCCCGCTTGCGTGCGCTTGCTGCGTGCGCGTGCGCGTTGCGCGGCGCTGCGCGCGCGCGTGCGCGTGCGCGTGCGCCGTGCGCGTTCGCCGTGCGCGTGTGCGGCGCGGTTGCGCGTAGCGCGTGCGCGTGTCTCGCGGTGGCGCGTAGCGGCGGCTGCGTGCGCGTGCGCGTGCGCGTGCGCGTGCGCGGGGCGTGCCGTGCGCGTGCGCGTAGCGCGTGCGCGTGCGCGTGCGCGTGCGCGTGCGCGTGCGCGTGCGCGTGTGCGTGTGCGTGTGCGTGTGCGTGTGCGTGTGCGTGTGCGTGTGCGTGTGCGTGTGTGTGTGCGTGTGCGTGTGGGTG